TTATCTCTAGCCACCATGCATCACCTCCCAGGTTTGTGCAGAGCCCGCTGTGACACTGGTCCGAACGCGCAAATGCCGGTGCTTTCTTTGATCTTGTTCCAGGGGCACTGGCAGAGCTTGCAAACTGTGTTTTGAATCAGTTTGGATTCACATTACATTATTTCTGGCTTGGCTGAAAGAATTTTATCCAAATTCAGCGCTGTCATCTTGTGTCAGACAGAACATACTATCCCGCTTTGCTTTGCATCTGGAGGGAGAAGCTTGCAAAGTCATTGCGATGTCCCCCTTTCCTTTGCCACCAGCGTGCAATTAAGTTGCAACCATCCTTTCCCTGTCCTTGATGTGAGGGACGTAAAAACATGCCTCTGCTTTGAAAAAAATAACATTTTTGAAGAGTTTGAGACGGTGATATTACAAGGGGAGTGAAAAGGAAGTGTTTTTCGAGGTGGAACTGCGGGAAATGGGGAGAAAGCGCTTCTTGGCCCCTGCCAAGGGGAGCCTGGGGCAGGGATGGGAACTGGTTCCCAATTTAATTCTTTCTTTCCAGCATTGCCCCTCTTGAATCACCATTTGAGTAAAAGTTCATGTAAGTGTATAAAAACAAATTTTTTTTTTTTTTTACTACCTTTCTTTAGGCAGCATATTCAAACCATTCTCCATTTCTTCATTTTTATAAATATATATGTGAACCTCTGCCCACTCTTGCAGCAAAGATGCTTCTCGTGCCCCGGGAAGCTGCGGGTTCGCAGCCCTGCTCTGCGCACGCAGCATGTCTGCGGCTTTCTGAGCTTATTCCACTTTCATATCATCGTGGTAAAAGCTCCTCTTTTTTTTTCGCCCCGCTTCTTTTCCTTTCCCCCCCAGTGTATGTCCTGTCGAGTTTGATTTATAGCCTTGAAAAGGAGACTCTAGGTTGAAGAATTAATGGTATTTGCATATTTTATTTGGAATCTCCCCCGGCAGGCCCGCCGCAGCTCAGCGCCGCTGCGCAGGCGGGTTTTTCCTTTCCTTTTTCTTTTTTTTTTTCGTTCGTTCAGATTTAGCAGCAGAGGTGAAAAGTTTAAACAGTAAAACCAATAAAACCACATTTATGTGACAGATAAATCGTTTCGAGACAGCTTGCCCTGAGCCGTCAGGCTTCCTCCTGCAAGACCTCTCTCCTACGGAGCACGACCCACGGCAGAGCCCTGCAAGCGCCGGCGATGCCCTGTGCCGCGCGGCAGCCGGGGGCCAAAGGTGCCGGCCCCGGCTATCCTCAGACCTGCCTCACCAGCAAGATGGATGTGGGCAAACAGTTGTAAAATACACAGGCTATCCGTCACTGTCGTGAGCCGGCCGGGGGGAGTCTGGCTCTCCCAGCGCTCGGGGAAGGTCCAGCCCAGGGTGGGAGCGGATTTAGGATGGGGCTTATTTAGAATCATAGCCTCATTTAGGTTGGAAAAGACCCTTAAGATCATCGAGTCCAACCCTAAACCTAACACTGCCATGTCCACCACTAAACCATGTCCCTCAGTGCCACATCTACGCATCTTTTAAGCACCTCCAGGGATGGTGACTCCACCACTTCCCTGGGCAGCCTGTTCCAGTGCTTGACAGCCCTTTTGGTGAAGAAATTTCTCCTCATGTCCAATCTAAACCTCCCCTGGCACAACTTGAGGCCGTTTCCTCTCGTCCTATCGCTTGTTACTTGGGAGAAGAGACCGACCCCACCTCGCTACAACCTCCTTTCAGGTAGTTGTAGAGAGCGATGAGGTCTCCCCTCAGCCTCCTTTTCTCCAGGCTAAACAACCCCAGTTCCCTCAGCCGCTCCTCAT